TAAACTCAGGAGTTAAGTCTTAAAAATACAATAATAATAATAAAACAACATGTAATAAAGTACCCTCACAGCAATGTATCTTGTGTGTCACTCGGCTGTAGATCATCAAATCATCTCTGAATTCATACTGACACTGTCCTTCCTTCTGACATCCTTGCCCGTGGTCCGTCCCTGTGTGTGCTGTAAAGTAGCCACCTCTCCAAGCTCACTCCTGTGATGGACTACAATCTCAATATACAAATTAGTAAACTAAACATGAGATTGTAGTCCATCACAGGAATGAGCTTGGAGCAGTGGCTACTTTACAACACACACAGGGACCATGGGGAACAAAAGTAGCCACCCTCCAGAAGGAAGGACAGTGTCAGTATGAATTCAGAGATGATTTGAAAATCTAAAGCCGAGTGATACACAAATAAGATACATTTTTGTTAATACTTAAGGCACTTGAATGCATTTTTAAAGGTTTAACTCTTCAGTTTAGTGTCACTAATGAAAGAATATTTAAGTCAAAACTTTTTTTTGTCTAGAGTAGAGAATAGTAAAACCAATGCAAACTTGTATTTATGTGGTCTATGTCTCTTTAAGGACATATTTCTTGATTTCCTATCTAGAGACACAACTGGAAGTGGGAGGAGATCACTCCACAAGAAGGAGAAGCAAGCGGACAACTCCACTGTCTTCCAGCGCCATAGTTTCCAGAAAACTCTTCACCACTCTCCATCCTGACTACTTCGGCTGTCACAGGAGGCTGAGCAGGCGGTGTGGGGAGGAGAACTTGGCCTCCTGTGGCACGGCTGACAGCCAACTTCTCCCCTAGCACCGCTGGCTCGGTCTCCTGTGACAGCTGTCTCCTCCCCCACACCGCTCTTCATCCTGATTAGTTGTCACAGGAGACGCTCGCCTCTGCGCCCAGCTCGGCCTCCTGAAAGGAGCAGTGGGGAGGCAATGTTTTAAAAATAAAAAAAGGTAATTAAACCATTTCATAATTTTATGTTAACAGCCCCTTCCTAAAATGAGAAGACCAACAGAAGGGGTGTGGAATTCCTATCGCCCGGGACCGGCAGTTTCGGGCGTCGCTTTTTTCTACATATAGCCCGGCTGCGGCCAAGCAGCACGGCTAAATGTAGTGTGGGAGCCGTTTCGTACAAGTGATTTTGAACGGCTCTACAGCCGTCCAAAATCACTTGTAACAAGCCTGAATCTCACTCCCCTCCCCTCTATCTATCTCCGGCAGCCGGCCATGTAACTCTCCCGGCTGTCTCTGGCTGCACGCTGGCTTCTTTTCTGCCCTGGACTTCGGGGTCCCCCACTCTTGTGGGGGACCCGACACCAGGCAAATTAGATTATGTTAAAGCACAGAGCAAAGAATGCTTCTTTGCTCCGTGTGTGCAGTGATACAGGAATGCAGCCTTCCTGTCACAGGAGAACGAGCACAGTACTGTGCTAGAACTCTTGTGTTGGAGGTGATAGGGTCAATAAAGAGAACCTGTCACCTCCAAATGCTTTCACACAGGAGCTTGTTAGCCCTTGTTTAATAGCAATAAAGTTAAGTGAAAAAAAAGTAAGAAAATAAATGACAATTCAAAATGTAAATACATAAAAATTGAAAAAATAAAAAGGCGATAAAGTAAAAAAATTATAAAAATAAATGAGAATTAAAAATAATAAAAAATAAAATAAAAACACCGCTGCACCCACCATCTGCATGCATGGGTATTGTGTGTGATTGGAGTGGGCGATTGTGCATAAAATCATGTGGATGGCCTAGCAGTCACAGAATCACATACCACCGCCGATCGCACTGGCGGTGCCATTATTGTCTAATGTCACCCCAGTCACGCCTGCCAGATTGCGCGGTTTCCCGCCACAATACCGCCCGTGCAATCAGACATAATCACGGTTCAAAACACTGCATGGTGCGTGTTGCGAAAATGTACCTTTTTTCAGTGATTGCCACACGGATGTAACTCCACTGAAATCAATGGGGCCGCGCGGCAAAATTATTTTTTTTTTTGTATCAGAACAAGTAGATTGTCATGAGGGACAAGTAGATCGGGCCCCCGCTTTAGTCCTTGGACAAGTAGTTTTTTCAAAAATTTCCACACCCCTGTACATATGAAATCTAGTAATATTGATCTAATAGCTATTCCCCTGTCCAAATACAAGCACTCGTACGGGCACTCTTACTGGATGGGGCTCTATTGGCTGGTGAGGGCAGAGTCATATGTCAGGCCTAGTAACAAAAGAGAAGACTAATCAGTGGTCAGAGTCAAAGAGGGGAACAGAAGAGGTTCTTCTGGTTAATTAAAAGTAATAGAAACATGCAGGGACAGATATCATTTACTTCCCTCAGCATACCCTCAAAGCTTCATTTCGCCTCTACTTAGTAACTCTAGGTTTACTGTTCCCTTAATATTAAATATTCTGCCAGGGGATTTAAATATGAAAATTAAATAATGGCATTGATTTCAATAATTTTCACCCAATTCTGTGTTCCCCTCAAATGCCAGGTTCAGGGGAAATGTCTTACCAATTCTCTGAAACCAATTGAAAATATAAAATGAACATAAACTTGGGTGGAAATTGCCCCTTTGATAAATCAGCTGTAATACATTTAACCACTGCCAGGGTACTGATAAGAGACATGCCCAGAACACAGCATGTTCCCACTCACCTACTAAAGGCAATTTATTGCCCACACAAATATAAACTCTGCCTATAAATCACTTTTTCAGATAAATGACCACAAGCCACCGAGATTTACAAACTAAACAGCATGATTTAGTTCATATAAAAGATGGATAATGTAAAACAGACAACGGATGAAATTGCCTGCTGAAAGTCATTTCTTCAGCTCCAAACTGTAGACTGCTATTGACCGCAAGCCTCTATGGAGAGAGAATATTAAATCCAGGTAATGGAATCTTGCATTAACCAATGCAAATGTGATTACCTAAAAAGGCCTGGTGTCTGGCACTAGCAATTCAGTCTCAGCGTGCGCGGCATTAACTGTTACTGTCCTCCAACAGCATATACAGTCAAGCCACCCTCGGATAACATTACACTTAAAGGAGAAGTATTGGGAGACTAAAATGTACTCTTACCAATAGTCTGAGCCGGCGTGCAACATTGCGGATGTCACATGTTGGCTCTATAGAGAAAAAAAATTGAGCGACCACTATCAGTCATTGCTCCCCGCTGGGATTCCCCCCTTTCCTTCTCTCTGCTTCTCCAGCACTCATTGGAGGGACAGACAGGGGAAGAGGCGGGCACAGCTGGCCCTGGCTCTAGAGAGACAGGGCCAGCTGTCAATTAGGCAGCGGAGTGGATCCCAACAATACTGTTGGGATCTTTCACGACTGCAGTGAAAGATGCAGGTTTGGCTACAGATCTCTTTTAATACACAGCATGCTGACAAAGTGAAGTATTAAAGGGAGCATGCACCAACAAAAAGCATGGACTGCCATTCTTTGAACTCTCATTTTGCAATTCTAAGTTGCCTGGCTGTTATGCTAACCCAAAAGGCTTTAATACTTTATTTATCTTACACAATTATGTTTACATAAGTCAGCATACAAGTTCTGACTTTCCTTTGCCTTCACTAGTTGCATGCTCATTCCTGGTTCATAACTCAAAAAGTATTGAGACCAGAGACAGCCAGGTAACTAGCATTTTCAGAAAGAGGTCATCAATGGAAGCCTATGTATTTGTTTAAGCATATATTTAATACACACAAACCTGGTATTTCTCTGAGTTGAAAGGTTCAACTGGTTGGTCTTGCGTTTCTTTTTACTTTGTAATACAATATGAATTACAGAAATTGTAATAGACAACAAGCCCATGGAACAAGTGAAATCCGCCCATAAACATAGGGATCCAGTTATAGCAATTCATCCAGCCAAACATTAGTTATGTGCGAGTTAACCAGCGGTTATGAGAAAGAGGCAAAAACAAATGTTCTCAGATGGGTACCTTAGGAAATAAATACATGTTAGTGGTAGTGATGAGGCTTGGGCTTAGTGTGAACCCACATCGTCTGAGTTCGCCCAAGTCCACTCAAAACTCTGACCACCACCCCTCCTCCCAACCCAATCAGTTGCAGCATTCCCTGCCCTGCAGCTTTACATCACAACGTACATGGAACAGGCCTTCCGCAATTGCTGCCTCTGGTTGTGTCAGGTGGAGGGGGTGGCAGTGAGAGTTTTGAGCTTGGGTGAAATCAGGTGAACTGGGTTGGCACCAAGCTCCGCCTCATCCATACTTATTTACCCATTTCTTTCCAATGCTATCCAGCTCCATCTAGTGGTCATAATGCAGGATTGTCTGGATCTACTACTGCCTATAATATGTGAAGAACATCCTATTAACTCTAATATTAACTCTCAAGCAACAGCCCCCCCCCGGCACAGGATGGCTATTGAAACCCTGCCCACTAATCAGAGGAGTGGACGTGAGAAAATTCTCTCTCAGGTCCACACCTCTGCTCAGTGTGCAGGCACAAAAGCCAGCCTATTGGCTATTGCAATTTGGCTTCCTATATGTGTAAGTCATCAAGAAGCCTACATCGGGTGTGCCTCGGGCATTGCTAATACAAATGGGGTTCCCAGATCATTGACAAAAGAGAACAGGGTATTACAACACGGTCTGAATGAGAAAGTGAACTAATGGCAGTTGGATTGCCCACTCTTCTCCCAGTGTTGACTATTAAAATTACCAACATTGCTTCCAAATGTTTTAGTGAGTTTTGGATGAAGAAAAAAAATTAAAAAATAGACCCTTACATTTTTAAAGCAGTGAATGTGACATTCACCATATATTCACTTCAGGTGTATCTTCTTGGTGCATGTAGTTTAAATGACAGGGAATGGTGAAGCAACTGTGAATGCCCCAGTAACTGCTTTATAAATATGATACTAAGGCCTTTCATTCTACAAGTATAAGACAAAACTTCAAATGGGCATCTCATGGCTACACCCAGGTAGTAGAGGTTATCTTACCTTAAGGTCAAAGTTACAGTCCAGTCTTCTGATAAGCACCACATAGACACTAGTGCTGTTGTCCTTCTGCACCGGTGGAGGAGAAATGGGCTCACAAGCATTCTCTGGTTTAGAGCTCACCAGAAACCCCTACAAAACAGACGAGAGCAATATAAGCAGACATGGAAAATCGTTTGTTAATAGGGATGCACCGATACCATTTTTTTTTGGTACTCGTCAATATCGAATACAGATACCGGAAGTCCCATTAAGGAAACCAGTGGGGGTAATGACTCGCCGCCCGGCTTCCTGTTTGGCCAGCTTCCCGATCAATCAGGAAGCTGGGCAGCGAGTCATCACCCAACCCCCGGCTTCCCGATTGGCCGGGAACCCAGCTCCAAGCCACCAAATGACTAGGGAGCATGGAGCCAGCTTCCTGGCCAATCAGGAAGCCAGGCAGTGTGTAATAATACTCGGACGTTCCAGCATCAGGATAGGCAGCGGGAGCATTTGGGCGAGTACTTGCCCAAATACTCTGTATCTGCACCGATACGGATACTAGTATCAGAGCATCCCTACTTTTTAACATACAAGACTTTATTCTCTGCGTTAATTAAAATAATGCTATTACAACTGCTGTACATAAACAGTAAATGGGAAAATTGGTGAACCCTTAGGAACGTTCTAAATTACTTCATGAGTGACACCTTACAGAAGAACAAGGAAAACATTTGATAAACCCTTAACTGCTTGGTTTGTCTAGGATACAAAAAAAAAAATGATCCTCACCCGATACTGCGAGCCGGCTTGTTCTTACACCGGTCCCTGGAGCCTCTCTCCCCCTCCCCTGCAGTGGTCTAAGGTCCCGTAAACCATCACATTTATACACAGTGTATAGACTGTACAGAAGAAGATTCCAATGCTGCAGCGGAGGAGAAGACAGGCTGGAGGGAGCGCTGTGACAGCTGGCCAGCTCAGAGCTTTGGGTGAGTATAACTTTGTTATTTTAGCACCTCGACAAAAACGAGTACTTAACCCTTGCAGTGCGGAGGTAGCCCACTGCAAGGGTTAAGGAAAGTTTCCTTGGAGTTCTCTTTAAAACATGGTCTGATCTAGATCACACTTGCAATAAAAAATAAAAGTAGTCTCATTTTGCAGAAATCCGTCATTCTTGTATCACTACAGAAAATATGGTTACAATTTCAGGTTGTGTTCAAGTTTGGAGATCCGCTCTAGCCATTTGTTCTAGTGACAACAGTCCCTGAAAATTAAAGTGAGGGAAATGCACTTTTGTGAGCTGTCGCTATTCTAGGACTGGATAGGAAATGTACCAATTTAAAAAAAATTGTTCTGCTGACAGCTATCGAGGAGATTTCCCTACTTCGGAGCGAATTTCTAACACTTCTTGTTGTGGCTACAGGGTAGGAAGTGAAGGGAAATCTCCTCACTGGAACACAGATGGCAAAAAAGCCTGACAAGTTTTCATCATTTCTGCTCTACCCAAAATAAAAAAATAGACCAGATATACGGTAAGGCCTCATTCACACGTGCGCAAAAAAAGCTGCGTACAGATGCGCGCAACACTTTTTTCTGTGCGCATCTCTATGCAGCACATGCAAATACACAGCCCCACACACACAGCTGTTCATTGGGCCATGTTTTTGCTTTGCGTACAAATGCGCATAAAAAAATGGAACAGAGGTGCTCTGGAGCCGCAAACTGTGCATGTTTTACGCACGTGAGCATCTAAACGCATTTGTACGCACACACATGTAAAGTTTACACAGTGCTAAAACAATTATGAACGCATAGACACATACACGTCAGTATGCGCATCTATAGACGTCATTTTACGTATTGTGCACATCACGTAAACGCGTATTTTGCAAATTGTGCTCATGTGTTGTGTGTGAATGAGGCCGAACTGGTATAAAAAAGGCACCAAGTAGAAGTGCCTCGAATGACAAACATGTGTGTGTGCGTGTGTATGTGTGTGTGTGTGTGTGTGTGTGTGTGTCTGTGTGTGTATACAAACGATTTACTATGACTTTGATAACGATCAGACCAAATTATATGAGCAGTTCATGCAGAAATCATGAAAATTCTTAAGAGTGTAAAAGTTTTTTTTTTCCTTTCTCCCCATCATAACTGTGTATATATAAAAGTAGATATTTATGAAACCCCATTAAAAAAAGAACCTACCTGGTGCACAGATTATGACGCCCTGATGAATTTTGCTATAAACTGGTATTAATGGGTAGCGGAAACACCCGTGGCTAGGCTCTGACCCACCCAGCACATCTGTTCCAACAAGCTGTGAACATGAGGGCTCTGCTGATGTGCTGCTGCTGTAATTTATATACGGTATTATAAATTTATTTTTTTTGCATGTTCTGGGTTTTTTGGCAACTAACATTATATAGATAAAAGAGGTATGCTGACCACCAATGCAGTTAGCAGCCATTCAATTAAAAAAAATGTAACAGATTTGAATTCCATTTTATAAAGAAGCACAGAGATAAGTGATGGCCTGGAAACACTTGAACGCAATCTGCTTAGTCATCAGAATATTTGTATTCCCCTCTACAGCAGTTATCTGTATTGCATAGCACCACCTAGTGGATAACAGGTGAACCTTCTGTCTGTAACCACTGCGTACTGTAAAATTCCATCATCACTGTAGTTTTCTTTACATCTGTCCTCTACATTGGCAACACTGCTCGAGAAACCAGCGTACAAATTAAAGATATCCATTAAAAACCATACAAGACACTGCAAATCAAAGCTACCAGTTACTTTTTATACGAATGACCTTCAGAATATTACAAAGAATAGCCTACTAGGTTCTATTGCAGAATAGTGCTGTGTAAGATGAGTGCACGGTTCTTATTCAGCCACAAATAAAATAAATTAATGACTTCTGAAAGCATAACACATTCCTGGATTTCTTCCCTTTGCATGCTGGTACAGGCAAAGCCAAAAGAATAAGTTAATTATAAACCACTAGTGCTGCTCATACATACAAGGCAAGTCAAGCTAAAAACAACCACCTTTCCCACCAATGTATTGGCATTGAACAGAAATCATTTTTGGAAGACATTAAGGCTGGGTTCACAACTAGGCGTATTGAATATGCGTGTCTGTCACGCGATTCCGAAGGCTACTTGGCTGTATCCCAATGTAAAACGCCCTACAAAACGGCCCAAAGAAGTACATGTACTTGTTTGAGCGTAGGCCGTTTTGTAGGGCGTTTCAGACGGGCGGAAATACGGAAAGGGGTGAACCAGACCCATAGAAAACAATGGGATTTTCATGTTTGTACGTTTTGTTGAGCGTTCATAGAGCGTTGAACGCGCGACAAAACGTAAAGGTGTGAACGGGGCCTTACTGTACACATCCAGTTTGCTTTTGTCCCTTGGAAACATCTGAAAGTCACTGACCAAAGGTTAAGGGCCAATTGAGGACCACCTGATGACACAGATAATACTGATCAGCTAGCTCCTTAAGTGTTTGAGTGTTGACTGGTACGAATGGATTATTGCAATGATCAATTTTTAATGGTGTGGGGATAGTGGTTTTCAATTGTGCAGTCAGTTTATGTGGAAGATTGTTTTTTACCTTGTATACCTAATAAAAAATCTTTTATATTACTATTTAACTCTCCGACCCCCTTCTTGAGCTGCACTCTGTTCAAAACCCTCTCTTGGTTGAACAAAACTACTTTTACCTTGTTTGCTTAATCTCCATGTTCATGGTATAGTTTTAGGGTTTTTCCTTATTTTCTTGATAACAGTGCTTAAAAGTAGGACTCCTGCCCAACAGATAAATACATTTATGTGTCTTGTTGTACATTTATAAAAATCAGTAATACCATTGAGCTACCTTGCATAGCTAACAGGATGACACTGTAAGACGACAATCTATCTTTCTATGGCTATTCTCATTATGCAAACAGACACCAGCATATTCCTGCAGCTTCCTGTGTCCCCTTCCGGTTCACTGGACTATGAATTGACATCATCACACTGTTGGGGACCCCGTCCTCTGCTCCCCCCACTAAACAGTCTAAATACCAATATCTCCAGCCCCCGGTGCCTGAAAAATCGACCGAACTGCAAAGCAATAGGCCATATTCTCACAGTCTGTCTTTATATTGTCTTCCCACAATCCCCATCCCTTACATGTCAGAGTTCAGGAACGTATACTAGCAACAGTAGACAATATACTGGCCTTATGGGTGATCTTGCCTTATAAATAGGCCCACTGTAATGTAAAAGCTTCTACTAAATTCAGCTACCGTGTTTCCCTGAAAATAAGACACTGTCTTATATTTTTTTTGCCCCCAAAAAGCACACTAGGTCTTATTTTCAGGGGATGTCTTTTTTTTTTTTTTTTGAATGTGCAACAAAATGTACAACAATCCAAAGTTATCTGGTGTCACTCCGCCTGTCACAGTAACCGGCGCTATAGAGTAAGTATTGGCTAATGCGGCTCTGCTGCCTCCGCAGCCCTGCTTTCTACAGCGCCGGCTTCCTTTGTCATCAGGGACAGCGGTGCAGCAGTGGGGACATCAGACAGTGGACAGCGCGGTACAGTACCATTTACCGGTACACATTACAGTACAGTACCTATTACATTAAGCAGTGCCTTCAGGGGGACAGCAGTTGGTGAAGTATGGTACTGGAGTGCTCCCTGTCACTGTGCTGGCCGGAGGGAGTCCCTTGTCATCCCCTTAATACAGTATGTCCATGCAGGCTGATACCATCTCTCCTGCTCTTCAAGTTCCCCCTCACATGCTACCACCAAACTAGGTCTTATTTTTGGGGTAGGTCTTATATTACAGGAATCTTGAAAAATAGTGCTAGGTCTTACTTTCAGGGTAGGTCTTATTTTCGGGGAAACAGGGTACTTAAGCTACATTGTTGATCTGCATAACTGCTTTTAGACTGGCTCCACAATAAATTCTCATCATACCCTGCACATTAGCTGAAATATCAAATTAAAGGAACCTGGTGGGATAGAAATATAGGGGCTGCCAAAAGGTGATCTGCTTTAAACATTGCAAGCTTATAAAACTCACATCCATACTCTTGCCTCATTAATTTAAGAGTAAATGACACAGGACAAGCATGCGTACAACAGATGTCCGA